AAATATTCCATATCCTTGCCTCACTCTTGGTTCTAACATGACCTCTGGGAGTCTGCAAAGATCAGACCGTGTTAAAAGAATGGCAAAATTCACCATGGGTTTATAAATCCCTCCAGGCCCTTCGAAGTTTGTGCTTACTGCCAGGCAGAAGGTGACATTTGCCAGCATGATTTTATGACTGACTTTGAGAATGTGCAGAGTGAAAATTTGATTTCAATTTTTCTCCCTCAGCAAAACAGCAATTTTGCTTTTCTCTCCTCTTAGTCACTGAAATTCCTATACAAGTCTAACTTGCCCCATGGGGGCTCTGCACAGGTCCTACAAAACTTGAGTGGCTTCCACACCTTCTCATTGCTACTAATTAGCTGTGGGGGTCTGTATTGCTTGCAGACAGAAACATCTTCAACTTCTCTGACAATCTGAAATCCAGAAAGTTGCAATCAGCAACTTAAAAACTGGACAGGGGCGCCAGACAGGGGTAATCCACTTTGTCAGATTGTTTTCTGGGTTTGGTCTGTGTCCACAAGAAGTCTCTTGGACTTTTCCCAGTTAGAGCCCAGTAGAGGCTGGTGCCTGTTCTCTTTCTTCTGCATGCACTCAGACCCTTTCTCTGGAAGGCAAGAAGTGAAGTGTAGGCATAGGCTGTTCCATTTTGCTTGACACTAGCCCTAGAAACCAGTCCCAAGCAAGTTTAGTTTCATGGTGTACACATAGACATGATGTATAGAGTTTATTTTGTAAGGATGAGCTTGGGGGAACAGGACCCTGCTTGCTTCAGGAACACCTCAAATGTGAGAATCTTCCCCTTTCTCCTTCCCAGTCCTCCTTTCAGAGCCTGGACCTGCTCATTTTGAAACCAGGTGGTATTTTGGGGAAGTCGTTTTTTGCCCTTTACACTTGTAGCTTATGAATTTGGTCCTCTCACACTCTGGAGGTGACCTGGAGGATGGGCTGGTGGCCTTCAGAGTTTGGTACGGGGAAATGAGGCTCAGGCAGAAGCTGGAGGGGCAGATAATTTGGGGACAAGCAGTGGGATAAGAAGGAGATGGAGGAGAGACTGTCAACCTTGGTAGGTTTTAGTAGCAGGTCAGAGCTCTATGCTGTCTGTGAACTTATATAATCATTCTAAATAAGACAGAAGAAGCCATTAATAAGTAAACAGTGATGAGGAGGATCAGAGAGGGAATGAAATGTCTGATGGTGTTCAAGTTGGAGAATTTGTGGAGGATGGATGATAAGCAGAAGACTGAGCGCTCCCTTTGAGCTGCAGCAGTGGTGGGACACTCCTGTGCTCATGTCACAGGGCAGGCAGTGGTGGAGCACGGTGAGGCTGCACTGCCCTTTCTGTGCCGGAATCTGCTTTGTCAGTACAAACTCCAGGTGGGCATCGCTTCCTCATCATAACAAATGGAGACCTAGCACTTGCCTGGTGTGACTTTGAGCTTTTGGCTGCTCTTCTTGAAATGATCCATTCCTCCCCTGGGGCAAAAGGATGCTCTCCAGAGTGAGGTATCTGTGCTACCTCAGCTTCTGCTTGGATCTGCTGGTGCTAGCAGAGAAGGGGGATGTCCGTCAACCCACAGCCTGCCAGGGCTGCTCGACATCTCATGAATGCATGTCCCTTTCTTTCTTTTTACTTTTCCTTTTCTGTGGTGTACAGTAGTTTCTCTGTCACAGCTCTGTCTCCCCCCAGATGAACTATGTCTGCCTGCCAGCTGTGCAGCGCAGGAGCAGGGCAGCAAGGACTAGATAGCACAGCTGCCCACAGACCTGAGGAGCAATGACTAGAGCAAGGGCACAGGCACATCTTCTTTGTGGGGAGGGAGGTGAGAAGGTGGTGGTGTAAGGGAGCTGACTTGGAGGCAGACAGAGGGGGCAGAGATGGGAGGAGGAGGTGAGTGGTCTGGCCAGGCTCAGCCGCTTTGTTGAGCACATCATGTGAAGAGCAGGCGAGCTGCTCCCCTCCGATGGGCAGTGTCGCTGTGAATCGCCATCAAAGCAGATGAGATTTCACACCACACAAATTTTTGAATTTAAAAGGGGATGGGGGGGGGGGTAGAGAAGCAAGAGAGGAGGAGCGGGAGAGAGGGAGAGAGAAGACACAGCCTGGCTGGGTGCCAGCGCCTTGTGCCAGTGCCATGGGGAAGGTGGCATCGTTCCCCAGCGTCCCCTGCAGCCCCGCGCTCAATGCTCCCTTCCTCTTTGGTTGTGTCTCTGTAGTGAATGCACTCTAAAGCAGTGTGCAGAGCAATAGCTTGGTCTCTGTCTCCTCATCTCTACTCTTCTGCTTTTTCTTTTAACCTCTAATTCTTTTCCAGCTCCCTATCCCCAGGCTCCTTTGCCCCTTACTTCCTCTGAGCCCTCTTCGCTGCTCCCTTACCCTAGTAGTCTTCTGTCCTGCACTACTTGCTCTCCCATCTCTCATCTCCACTTGAGTTGCCCTCATCACCACTCCTGCCATCATCACTCTTCTGTCCTCTCCTCACTTTCCCACCTTTTAATCTCCCCTCTCCTTTATTGCCCACTGACTCTGGGGAGACACCCAGAACTGGGAACACCCACTGGCTTCCCTTGGCCAGTTCTCTCCATGCTATCTCCTGTGGCACATATTTTTTCACAGCAGCTATCAAAGTAATTTGTTTAAAATCATGAAAGCATGAGGCAGAGACTGATAGTGTGGCCTTCAAGAACAGACAGGAAATGCACAGTGACCCCACAAGGTCACTGGGATGCCTGAGTTTTACTCCTGTTCCCCTTTGGCTATGAGGGGTGGAAAGCTTCTCATCCCTTTGCCAGGTCCAACCCTCCTTTGTTACACACCCACCTAAGGAGGTGCAAAAACCCCTTGGTGGCTCCCTCTAGAAGTGAGTGAATGGTGGGGTCAGGGAGAAAGGCCACAGGTGGGCGTTCTGCCAATGGTGGTGAGTGCTGAGTACAGCAATGGCAAGTAGGTGTGCTATAGTAGTGCACTTTGGAACAGAGTCGTGATGCTGTGGGTCACCCGCGGTCTCCAAGTAGGACGTGGCAAAGTACTATTGTTGTCCAGGATATTTTTTTATGTCTAAAGACAAAATAATGAAACATAGCATCACAGAATCATGAAGGTTGGAAAAGACCACAAAGATAATCTCGTCCAACCACTGACCTATCACCACTGTATCCACTAACCATGTCCCTCAGTGCCACACTGACCCTTTTTTTGAGCACCTACCTCCAGGGATAGTGATTCTACCACTTCCCTTGGCAGCTTGTTCCAATGCTGTACCAACACTTCGATGTTATATTATTCTAGATCCTGAAAAGGTTTATCAAGTTATAGGAAGCCCCAAGCTAGAGCCTGATGCCCAACACCAGCTGTCCCCCGAATCTAATAATGCTGCAGGAGCCCACATCCAGGGGTCCCTCTTGGTGCTTGCTGGGAGCACCTCACCATGGGTGCAGCACTACGGTGCAAATGCTCCAGACAAGCAGGTGGTTACAGCCCAGTGTCACTGCTACACCTGCTCTGAAAAAAAAACCAAAAAAAAAAAGATCCGTATGCTGCCTAATCTCTGTTCTCACGTGTCCCAGTTGTGTTATGGGACAGGTCACTGGGAGTTTGGGACCTTGAGCCCACTGGTTTATCTCTGGAAGATGCTGAGCTGCAGAGGTTGCCCAGCCTTTACTTCGAATAAAAGAAAAATTGTTATCTCATTTTTGAGGACTAATGTCCTCTTTTTCTCATTTTTCTCCTTTTTGTCCTGTCTGTCCTGAAGTTCTCTTCTTTTGAATCTACAGGGCTAAATTCTACCCTGATGTAAATCTCTGCTGATGTAAATTGGTGTGATCTTGCAAAAATCATTGGAGTGGCTCTGGATTTATGCTGGCTGTTAGTGCTAGCAGGGTTTGGCGCATGGCATGCAGTGGCCATAGCTCACTGTGTCGTGCTCTGCATTTCCAACCAGCACTGCAGGTGACAAGCAAATCCTGCTGAGAGGCGAGCGGGTCCCTCTCGAAGCAGAAGAGGCTTCCCTTGGATGTCCTTCGTGTGGCCAAGTGAGCCAGCTGGGCCGCAATTTGAGGATGGACACTATGGAAAGGTTTTAGCCTGCGGGGTCGCACAAATGGGGTGGAAAATTTTCATTTAATACGTGCTTTTTTTTTTTTTTTGGCTTTTTTTTTTGCATCTCACACGTTAGGGAAAATTGGAAAGCGCGTTTGTAGCTGCTATTTCCCACGGGTGCAGTATAATATATACAGTATATGCTGTGTGCGGCACAGGGGGATGAGTCATACCCATTTGTGACTCTTTGGTCTCAGTGCCCGGCCAGGATGGACTCCTCAGGGAGCTCTCCTGACAAGGTGCACTCCCCAGGTATGCTCTGGGAGCACTCCACACCACAGTCCCCCCATCACAGTGCCCCCCACCCTGCTCTGGGTTGGGGTGGGACAGGCACTGCGTTCCCATTCATCCACCCAGAGGGGCCAAACGCAGTGGCTGCAAAAGCCACACGCGCGGACCCAAAGCCGCAGTGATCATCTGTAAGCGACTCCTGTCCTGTCATCCTTCCTCCCCTCCGTGCTTTCTCCTCCACCTCAACTGCATTACAGATAAAAGGGTTAAGAGCTCACTTGGGCCCCCTGCTCTGAGAGAGGGCAGTTGCAGTGTTGTATCTAGACCCAGCGAGGATATATATAAATTCCCTTCGTCTCTCCGGATCTATTTATAGCACGGCAGGCAGTGGCAAAGGCTCTCCTCAAGGCTTCATCTCCTACAAACAGTCTTCACAGACAGCAGAGAGATAAATTTAGCACACGAGATTTCTTAAAGAGCCAGCAGCTCTGCGGGGCCACGCGCCTGCCTTGCTCAGCCCCCACCCTTGTGCCCCCAGGACTGCGCTGTCCCACGGGTGCCTGCACCCACTTTCCCCCCCTCTGCCCCCTCTGGTTTTCTGTCCAGATTCACCCACACACCCCCTTTCTGCTCTCTTTTTTCTTTCATTGATGCATTTTCCTTTTTGCTTCTTCTTTTTTTTTTTTTTTTTTTTTTTTTTTTTTTGCTGGTTCACCATCTCATCCTATGTGCTTTCTTGTCTTTTTTTTTTTTTCTTTTTTCCCCCCTCTTTTCTCTCTCTCCCCATCCACAGGGCTCAGAAGATAAAGCTTTCTCGTTAACAGTTCACTGGTTATGCCTACATAGTAAAAAATGTGTAGCTTGATTAATGCCTTCCAGATGGTTAATTGAAAAAAGAAGGGGGGGGGGGAATGCACCAATCTCTCCCCCCTTTTCAGTACTCTGCACACATACACTGCACAGGAAGACAACTGCATTAACGGGTGAGGGGAGCAATAAATTTGAGAAATGGGGGCAGCCTGCTAAATTCTGGGCTGGCAGTTAGCAGCTGAATTGCTCTCTCCCTGCTTTGTGCCTGCACCCGACCTGCCCCACTGCAAAATGCCCCAACCCCGAAAGCAATGCTCCTTTGTGTGCACCGTGTAACACAGATGCACCCACACGCATGAAAACCTTCCATAGGTACTGCATGGCACTGACACCCCAAAAACAACCCCTGCCCATTTTCTCTCCCTACATTTATTTTCCTAGGGGATGCACACATGTACACACGTGTCAGGTGAATCTTGACCATGGAATCACTTGCACAGGAGTGAATCTGTTAGTGGAGTCACCAGCACACAGTGCAGGAGAAGGAGGGCAGTGAGTGTGATGGAGGGGCACCGATGGGTGGGGGCTGCAGTGCGGTTCTTGGGGCAATTTGGGAAGGAAGAGGCCACTGCAGGACAATATGATCAATGCTTTTCTGTTCTATGGACACTTGCCCTCAGCCTCTCTTTCACAATCTGACATCTCTCTCCTCTCATAGCTCTGCCTACTCCCAGTTTCTTTGTCTTTCTCCTGGAGAGACAGGGGAAGAACACCAATCCCTCCCCACCCTGCTAATAGAGATGCTGCCTTGCTGACGTTAGTCACGGAGGGTGTAAGCCATGCAGTTGAGGGTGAGCTGCATCCAGCCCCTTGCACACCTCCCTCTGCCCTCCCACCGTGGCTCTCTCTGGTTTCCAGGGAAACAGCGGCCCCAAATGCTGCCCGACTTTCACATCTGCCTTTCATTTCTCCTTTTTAAAAAATAATCATTATTGTAATTTTTTCTTTCTCTCATCTTCTTTCAGGATCACCACCACGGCTGCCTGCATGATGGACCTACGGAGGTACCCCCTGGACCAGCAGAACTGCACATTGGAGATTGAGAGCTGTGCGTATGCCATGCAATGCTGACCCAAACAAGCCACCCCTCCCACCCCTAGGCTGCCTCCCAGAGCTTTTAAGGCCACCCATTCCCAAGGATGCCCCTTTGGGCAGGACTGGGCTCCCTCATCCAAACTCCATCCCCAGGGTAAAATGCTCAGGAAAATGGAGCCCCGGCAGCAGGCTAGGCACATAAAATTACTCTCACTTTTGGGAGGATGGAGAAGGCTATCTCAGCCCTCAGATAGCCCTGGGAAGGTGCCCTCAGTGTTGGCTAAGCCTGTTTTTTGCAGGAGGTGGGAGCAGAGCCCACATCTCCTCCCCACCTGGATTTTCCTTGGACTCCCATGAAAAGCCTTCCTGATCATTCTGGCCAAGGGAGGTCCGGCACTCCCTCATAAAAATGCACTGCAGTATCCCCACAGGAGCGGTCCAGAGCAGCAGATCTCACAGTAATGATGATGCAGCTTCAGTGGTGATTATCAGAGAATTGCTTTTTTCATAAAAGAGGTCCCATGGCATCAGCAGTCGGCAGGCACGGCGCTGCCTCCCCAGCCTCTCCTCTGCCAGGCAGCCCTGGTCCCGCTCGGAATGTGCAGCGATAGCAGCTCTTGGCGTGGCGGGTAATGGGATGTAAATGAGGTCCTCCTGGATGCACTAATGGCATGTCATTTTTGGCACTCCTTCGTATTTTGAGAATAGTTTACAGTACAACCAAGAAAACAGAAGGCAGAGGATTACCCACAGTTCCCCACGTTGCGATTTTGTTCTTAATGGGACATGTCAAGCCAATTTGTTAGTTGAAGTTACGTTTCCTTACAGTATTTCTAAGACCAACGCCGAGATGAAGAGAGTCGTGGTTTCCTTGCTAAGAGCCTTTGTCTCTCACACTCACGCACACTGGAAATCTGCAGGGTTCCGTTTTGTTTTGTTTCCACATCCACACAACTTTGAAACAACGCTCCTCTCATGCCTGGCTTAAAAATAACAAAAAACAAAAAAAAACCAGAATGAACACAAACAGAAAACCCCACGAAAATAACCTTTTTGTGGTGCAGGAGTGCTGGGTTTGTAGAACCATGGAATCATAAGGGTTGGAAAAAATCTCTAAGATCTCTAGTCTAATCATCCACCTTCCACCAATACTGCCCACTAACTGCATCCCTCAGTGCCACATCTCCACAGTTCTTGAGCTCCTGCAGAGATGGTGACTCCAGCACCTCCCTGGCAGCCTGTGCCGTGCCTCACCTCTCTTTCTGAGAAGAAAGCAGCAGTGTGAAGCTGGGGTCTCCTTCCCATAGCAGCGTGTTGAACTTACCTGCAGGGGATAAGCCCATGCTAACACTGCCTGTTGATCCAAGCCCCTGCCCCCAAACCAGCCCTCATTCCATGACACCCCTCCTGACTGTGTGCACTCAACAAAAAAATGATGAAGCTGGCAGCAACCAGGCCATTCATCTGGCATCTTAAGATGCTGTATCAATACTTCATGATATTTCAGATTGAAATGACTTTCTGAAAGTTGTTTTGCTTTTTAAAATTAAAGCGGAAACTTGGTTTTCTTTTCTAAAGCTGCAAATCAAAGTGGAACATTTATTTTTAGACTGAGTAACCTTTCCCTTTAGAACCACTTTAAAAAAAAATGGATTCTTGAAAAACATGTTTGATTTCATATTGAATAATAACATTAGAAAAAAAGATTGGCCCCCAGTATCAGCAGGTCATAGGATGAATGGGATGGAGCTAGTTAACTGCGAGAGCTCCTAAACTTAGATACTGTAACTTGACATTTTCATTGCTGATCAGGAAGTGAATTTGAAGTAACTGCTGTTAAATTTGTGGATGATGAAGATAGCAGTCTGCGTGGCCTGCTTGCTGCACATTTGAATACATCTCAATTTGAATACATCCATCCTGAGTACATCTGAATACAGCTAAATGTGGAGGTCTGTGACTGGGTGCAGTAGCCAGGCTGCCAGATTGAGGGATGGGACCTGCATGAGCCCAGACCGGGGGAAACGATGGAGGGATCACAGCCCCGAGATCGCTGCTGGAGGCTCTGTAGCAAGGCTGTGGCACAATTGGCTGGAGCAAGCCTTGGTTATATAAACCAGGAGAGCAGTGACTCAGAGCAGGGAATCAATTGGCCTCTGCATGTGTTGCTGGTGAGACTGGGAAAGGGGCTCTTTCTAATTTTGGTTTCCATAATTTAGAAAGGAAGTTGAGAAATCAAAAGAGGTTGAGAAAAAGATGCTAAAAAGCATTCAAGGGCTGGAGCAGATGTTTTGCAGTTAGAAACTGAAATAGCTCAGCCTGCTTTGTTTACTGCAAGGAGGTGGAGAGGTGAGTTGTTTACAGACTGGGCACACCTCTGCATAGGGCGGGAAGGGCTCCGTAACCTCGTTGAAATACACACAGTGGCCACTGGTGTCTGAAGGTCTGAGCCTGATGGATTCAAACATAAGCTCACACACACTGTTAGCTGTGAGACCCTGAGCCACAGGAACCAGCTACTGGGAGCAATGCTTTCCATGCTTGGTGTCAGTGCCTTGCTCTGGGACAGGTGCACAAAGCTGGGATAATGAGGCACCACAACAACCTGTGCCACCATGGGTGTCTGCAGAGGGTGAGGTGACCTCAGGGTCCTTCTGATTCCCTGAGCTCATGGGTCTGGGTGCTTTACCACAGTCATCCATGGAGCAGACTGGCTGCCACCAGGAAGGAGGTGGAGGCCTGGCTTGGTTGATCTACAGCAAAGCAGATCTGGTATAGCACTTGATAACAGTCTTCCACTTCTTTAGCATCAGTGAATAAGAACAGTAATGACCAAAAGCACAGGACGTGGGCTTGGAGGCTACAGTCCTCAAGTAATGCGGTTTGCAAGGGACCTCAGGGTGTCAATAGTCCAGCCCCCAGCTCAAAGTAGGCTTGGCCATGAGATCGGAACAGGTTGCTCAGGACTTTGGCCACCCAGGAGCTGCAGCTCACACTGTCCTCAAAAGCTCAGCTGTGAGCAGAGGGAATCCTTGGCCCTGAGGCCAATTTGAATAATTCCTTCTCCTCTATGGTGCATCCAACATCACTTCATTCTCATCTTGTCACTAATGAACTGGTGCTGGCCTCAGTGGCAGCTCTGTGTAGCAGATGTTGACCTTGCTGGGTGTTGCTAGCTAACCACCTCTGCTGCCAGGGCTTGTGGCTGAGGCTGACTGTCGTAATGCAGTGCAGGTTGTAAATACAGGCTTTCTTGGGGGCACAGGTGAAGATCATGCTCTGAACAAAGCTTTGCGCTGCTGTACCAAAGCGTGTACATATCACAGTTCTTTTCTGAGCACAGAGGTGTTCCCATGCAGCTCTACACTTCTCTTAGAATAAGAAATATCTTGAAACAATTATGGTGCTGCAAAACTGACCTTGGCACAAGCAGCACTGAATTACAAGTGGAGATCAATCCTTGTACACAAGTGCAATGGGCAGGGTTGTGATCATCACACTGATGTGAGAGGAGCTGCATGTTCTCGTCACTCAGGCCTTGCTCCAAATGAGGCTGAAGCACCTGGGATATAGCTGGGATATAGCTTCTCAGTACCTACAGCCTGTGCAGCCCTGCCTGCCTTGTACTGTTTGGGGTTGAAAAGCTTAAGGCTATGCCCTCAGCTCAGTTGACCTCTGAACAAATCCATTACTGTGAAAAATAAGGAATGAGCATTTGTCACCAGCTGGATTTCGCCTACTTTCTTCTTCCCTCAGTGCTCTTTCCAGCTAGAGCTTGGCAAAAGCAGTCCCCTGTCTCAGAGGCTCTGTGTGCTTCCAAATTGTGACTGAGGGTATTTAAAAGAGAGAGATGTACTGATGCTCACATTTCTTCTCAAAATTGTTGTAAATCTTTTTCTCTCTGTGAATCTTTAATACTTGGAGGCTCTGTTTACCTGGTCTCATCAGAATGTATTGTGATCTCCCCCTTCTGGTAAAAGGAGGCAGCTTTTAAAAAGCAAAATGCAGTGTTTTGTGATAGCAGCTTCCGATGCACAACTCCCTGTCATGTTAGCCATGGAGATTATGCAGCACGAGTCAAGACATGATGGACCACATCTCACCTTTTTTTCCTGAATCCTAGCCAGAAGGGGGAGTTCTGACCAATTTTTTCCTCTCCTGGGGAGCGTACTGCCCAGCTCAGCTGAAGCAAATGACGTCAGCCAGGAGGGGCTGTGCTTGCTGTCTGGTGGTGTGGGCTTTCTTTCATATCTTCTTCCAAATCACCTTAGAGAAAATGGGGGAGTCATTTGATGCAGCTTGTCAGCTCAGTTCTCTCTCTGTGCTTTTCCACCTCTGCAGATGGTTACACAGTTGATGACATTGTCTTCTTCTGGCAAGGAAATGATTCTGCTGTCACAGGGATGGAGGTGCTAGAACTGCCCCAGTTCACCATTATCGAGCAGAGACTGGTCAGCAGGGAAGTGGTCTTCACCACCGGTGAGTCTCTGCCCAAGAGATGTGATGGAATTCATAAATCTTCTGTTGATCCAGGTCAATGGGGTTTCTCATCTGATTTAGATTCTGAGGTATTAAATTAGGTTCTAGGCTTCAGGCCCTATTCATTTGAAAAAGAGCTGTCTTCTCTACCCACCAAATTTGATTCTTCAAAGACTTGTGGAATCATTTTTATTCCAGTTGTTTTCATTTCTTAGTTGAAACACCAGCTAAATCCAAAACAGAACCTCCTTAGAAGGTTCTCAGCCTTTATCTTGTGTTTATGTGGTTTAAAACTGGCTCTCAAGGTCAATGTAGGTGCAACTGTAAGAAGCAGAATATTTCTCTTGAACAATAAGTGGTCTATGGCCCATCTGCACAGTGCAATAACAGGATCTGAAGAGAACACCTTGGACAATTCAGGGTTTGGATTTTGGTTGCTGACTTCATTTTGAAATGGTATGGAGTTCACTGCCTAAGTGAAGTGCCACACACGTTAACTTGGATGATTTCTGAAATGCTGTGAAGTAACAACAAGAACAGTCTGTCCATGGCAGTGGCAGATGGGGATGTTGCTACAGTGGTACCTCACTGGACATGCCAGGAGCAGGGTCCCATTGCATCAGTAATCTAAACATCAACAAGAAGCCATGTTCCTTCCAAAAGAACTTTGCAATCTGGATGGACATGGATATGGATAAAGATACGACCTTAAAAAAAATGATTGGTGAATGAAAACATTCAAACTGCATACATGATACACAGTGCTGAGAAAATACAACCTCCTTTTCCCAGTCTTCCTCCCTGATCATTACAGACTGTTGTTCTCTTCTTAGCTTAGTTGCCAACTCACAACTACACTCATATTTCAGTCTGTTGTGTTGCTTAGGGAAGGAGGTGAAAAGGAGGAATGGCTTGGACTTTGTTTCACAGTAACGAGAGGGTTGCTGCCTCGTCCTGTCAAAATACCATGCTCCAGTAGAAGATTTGTAAAAGTACTTCTTGTCACTATCCTCATTAGATTTCCTAAAAGATTAGGAGGAACTTGAACAAGAAAAAAGATCTACAGATTAACCAATGGTACTCTATTTGTGTATGAATTTGCCCAGTCTGATCATAACCCAGTTTTAGAAAGCATGGGAAAAATACTATTTATATCTTCATTGCTGTTTGGAGGAAAAACTAGCACATGAAACAATGGAAAATGATCTTACTGCATCCAGGTATAGGGTTGAAGTCTCCCATGCAAGCCCGAATCTTACTGGCACATACCATAAAGGCAGTTTCAACAGAGGACTGAACAGACGTTCTCCCATGATGTCTGATACAACACTGTAACTTGCTTAGAGCTCCCTTTTTCCTTAATATTCCTAGCCAATTGAGCAGACTCTAAAGAAATCCTCTTCTCCGATGAGGCTGTAAAATCTAAGGAAAAAAAAAAGAGGAGAGATTCCTCATTATCACTGCCTCTTGAGAACATTTTCCAAATAGAAGCTCCTACTAAAAACATAACTTTGCTTTCCTCTCAGACAAGATTTCCCTTTAATATCTCATTGACAGGCTCATACCTGCGCTTATCTTTGAGCTTCCGAATTAAGAGGAACATTGGTTACTTCATCCTGCAGACTTACATGCCATCTATCCTCATCACCATTCTGTCCTGGGTGTCCTTCTGGATCAATTATGATGCTTCTGCTGCACGAGTGGCACTGGGTAGGTACCTTCTCATTATACACTGAAGAATATGATATCTGAGGGAAATCAAACAGGACAGTTCTAAGAAAATATCTTTTTCTTAATGAGGTAGCATCTAAACAAGACAGATCAAATTTGTCATCCCAAAAGAATGACATTTCCTTGGAGAAGAAACTGCAGGTTTTCAGCCTGAAGGTTTTTTTTGGAAATACTGATGTTTCCCAAGCTTTGGTCTGTATTATTTGAATCTGTAAAAGTTATATTATAGATTTCTGTGGGAAATTTGTTATATACAAAGGTATAAATGGTCACAGCTTCTCAGAAGCATGAGACTATGACATGCTATGAACCCACCAGTTCCCTCACTGCAGTTTGTACTTGTTTTCTTAAGCAGATAAGTCTGGGCATCTCTTGATTAACAGATGTGCTGAGAGCAGGTTAGTTGGATGATAAATACTGAGAGTGGATGGACAAAGAGCAGTAAGAATAGTGAGTGAATGGCAAAAATTGTAAGGAGAGATAAAGAAAGTGGCATTACACAATTTCATGATATTTTAGGCCCAATACAGACACTTTTTTGTGACTGAAGACCTTCATAACCAAGTCAAATGTGGGACAGTAAAGTAAAAGATTTTCTTGAACATATGCGCCCCTAAATAGGGATGTTTTCCTACAAGAGGAAAAAAAGAGATCTTTTAAGCAACAGAAGGGAAGTGGGGGTGGATTGCAGATAAGGATTTTGAAGAAGGAACAGGAGAAAAGTGGGGTGGCTGGCATATCAGATTGGGGCTATGCAACATGATAGGAAGTTCAGAGGAAATAGGAGAGACAAGGAGGGAAGATTTCAGCTGTGGTGGGGAAAAGGCTCTGATAAGGAATGGAGCACAGGTAAAGGTTGGGTTTTACAGAGAAGGCTGGGGGCTTAAATTAGCTTTAGGAGAAGGCAGAGCAGTGGTGGTTTGTACAAACATATAAAAGAAATGATTTGTCTGTGCTTGTTTGGAGAGTCTGGAGCAAGGAAGGGAAAAGAGGAACACAGTAAATTGCAAAGGTAAGTTGCAATGACAAGAGTATTATAAGTGAGAGTAAAAAGAGACCACAATAGACATTGCTAGACATAGTAGATAGAGTAGACTCTCACGGGGAGAGTACAAACAGAAGGGTGGACTTGAGATGCACAGCTGTTGATTTTCAGCTGACATCTGGAGAAAACAGAAGAAAAAACATTGTAGATCAAAACTGGCAGAGCTCTCATCAAGTGATTCCTGACAGCTCTCTAACTTGTTCCTAAGAATCTTCAAAGAAGGAGAATCTGCAGCCTCCTCTAATCACTGTTCCTCTGGATTTGCCTGCTCATACAATCAGAAATCCTTCCTTTTCCTGTGTTCTAAATCTCTGCTGCAATTTGTCTGTCTTTGGTGGACACAGAGAACATTTTATTCCCCCTTAACTTCTACCAGACTTCTGGGTATTCAAAAATTATTGTTGTATCTTCCCTCTGTCTACACTTCTGTCAACTGAAGACTATTAGTTCTCTAAACTAAACGACTAAATGACACTAAAAACAATGAAGTTGATAGGGAAACAGGACAAGCACAACTCCAGGATGCACAGACAGATGTGGGAGAAATCACAGTAGAGGTAGGGCTAAAAAATGAAATTAAAATCATGTAGAATAAGAGAGCTAGAGACAAAGAACTTGGACTGGTATGCTGCCAACAGAGAAGAGGAGGAAAGACATCTGAGGAAAAGGAAATCAGCAAGGTAGTAACAAAAACATGGCAGTTGAGATTGAGAAGAGGGAAAAGAAGACCAGGTCAAGGCAACAGAGTTTCTCCTCCAAAAGAAGTATGAAGCCCAGTTGCAACTTTCTGAAGGACTGCTGAAGAGACAAATCTGTGGCCATTCTGAGAGTTCACAGGCCAGAGGCTAAGAACGAAGGAAAGGAATGAAGCTGAGAGCGTAATCATGATGCACCAAGTAGACCAAGTAGATGGTCAAATAAAGGTTTATTTAAGATGCAGGAAATATGAGTAGACATAAAAAAGGAGAACATGAGAGCCATGAAAGAAGCTCAGATAATTGAAGTAGTGGGTGGTAAAGCTGGTGAGAGAAAGGTAGGAATTGATGGAGTCAAGGAAATAGACAGAAGCCTTGAGGCAGGTAAAAGAAGAGAGAGTCATGAAGTGGGAGTCTCTTATCTCCTTCTCATATTTATGGCATTAGAAAGTCACAGCATATTAGAAATTCATGTCAAGGATATTGAGGCATCCAGTAGTGCACAGGGAATTGTGATGAGTTCATGAAGTAAGAAAGGTGGAGGAGAACATTTGAGAGACTGAAAGCAAAACTGTGTATTTCCTATCACAGTGAGTGAAAGAAGGTTCATCAGGGAGGACTCAGAGAACTGAGATTCACAGAACATTGATCCACACTGTCCTGATGCTATTGAGCTTTTGCATTTTCTCCCACTTTTGATAGCTTGTTTGTTTTCTGCAATGGGCAGTTGACCTTAGAATAATGACAATTTTCTTCCCAGTTTTGCCGCTTCCAGCCCTCCTGATGTTCAGCCCAGATGGGAGAAGGGATGGGAAACCTGAGATTGGCATTTCAGGAAACCACCCCACCTTGATAACAGAACACCTACCCTCTCCTTACAGGGGTCACCACGGTACTCACAATGACTACCATCAACACTCATCTGCGGGAAACTCTCCCTAAGATCCCTTACGTCAAGGCTATTGATGTTTACCTCATGGGCTGCTTTGTCTTTGTGTTCCTGGCACTCCTGGAATATGCTTTTGTCAACTACATATTCTTTGGACGAGGCCCCCGACAGCAGAAGAAACAGAGTGAACGCATCAGCAAGGCCAACAATGAGCGCCATCGTTATGAAGAAAAGAGGGTGAGAGAGCAGGTTTGTTTCCTTCTTTCATTGTGGTAGGAGAATTCAAACTCTCCACTGTTCATTCGATCCTGGATGAGCTGTGGAGCAGCCTATCTCTTCACCACAAGAAACTCCAGTTCCCTTGTCTGATAAACATAGACCTACTGAAGTTTGCAGACAGATGCCGAGAAGGATCTCTTTCCAGTGTTCACTGGGAATTTTTCTCCTTGATCATTTGGTCATTATCCTCAAGCCAGTTTCATCAGGACCACCCTCTTGCAAGGGCAGGTGTATCCCAAGGTACCCTTGTGGCTTTTGGTCCTACTCTGTTGGCACAAATACATTACTCAACTCGCAAGTATGCTGCAAGCACAGGCTCCAGCCTGTGAGCAACCAACATCAATGGATGACTTTTGCAAATGCAGAAGTTCAGGTTCAGAGCCCACTTACAAAAGATCAGTATCGATATACAGAAAGCAGTTCAAAATCATCCCTGGTGGCGTGGCTGTGCAAACAGTGCACAAGACATCCTTGCTATCTTTCTCTCTGTCTCCCCTGTTCTAGGTTGACCCTTATGGTAACATCCTCCTCAGCACTCTGGATATGAACAACGAGCTGCTGGCCACGGACATGATGAGCAGCGTTGGCGACTCTCGAAACTCTGTCATGTCCTTTGAAGGCTCAGGAATTCAGTTCCGCAAGCAGCTGGCCTCCCGGGATGGATTTGGTCACCACCCAACCCTGGACCGCCATGTCCCGCTGACCCACCATGCCGCAGCCCGCAACCGTGCCAACTGCCGTCTCCGTCGGCGGTCATCTAAGCTGAAGCTCAAAATCCCAGACCTAACAGATGTCAGCACCATTGACAAGTGGTCAAGAATCATTTTTCCAATCACCTTTGGATTCTTCAACCTTGTTTACTGGTTGTACTATGTAAATTGATGCCTGCAGCCTCCAAGAGAGATAGGGACAGACACTCAGACAATGACAACACAGGAGTGTTGTGGTCTTTTGGGTTTGGGTTTTACTCTTTACTATCATCATTTATTCCTTTGATTCATTAGATTTACTCTAAGCTTACTCTTCTCTTTTCAGCACATATAGAACCACAGAGTGTTGGGGGGAGGGGGGAAAGGGAAAGAAAGGTATACGGGAGGGGATTTGATTTCAGGGAGGGATGTGTTTGTCTTAATTTTGGTTTCCTGCTGAAGGACTTACACCATTGTGGGAAAAAAATTAAAAAAGAAAAAAAAACGCATAAAAAAAAAAAAGGATAGGAAAAAAAAAGAAAAAGAACAAAAAAAAAAAAAAAAAGAACAAAGTATTAAAAAAGGGGGGAGGGAGACATAAAGAAATTGAGTTAAAAACTGGTGTGGGGGGATAGGTTATCTTTGGCTGTGCTCACTAATGCACTATCCTCACTTCCATTTCACTACTGAATTTCATAATTTCATCTTTCTCCTCTCAGTATTATTATATTTTTTTAATCTTTCTTCTGTCACTGTTCCTAACCCCTTCATTTTTATTCCTTCATGGATTCATGAGATAGTGGGGTTTCATTCTCATGCTATGAGACTTCTCTTTTCTTTTTCTCTCTCCCTCTCTCTTGCTTACAAGCCTAAAAGAATCTTTTAAACCAACAAATAAAAAGAATATTTATTTTGGAAGAGCTGGGAAGGGGGGAGGACAGGGCAACTATTTGGGAGGGAAGGGGCAATATGGGGCATAGGGGGGGTGGGAGGAGGGAGCTTATCAAAAGCAAAGGCACATTTGCAAGTTGCCTTTTTCCACCTTCAGGAGTTTGCAAGCTGTTTTTCCTGTGTGAATGAGTGTGTGCATCTGCGAGTGCGTGTGGATGTGGATGCGTGTGTGCAAGCATGTTTTCTGGGGAAGGGAGCAGGGGAGGGGGGTTTTGTAATGTCTTTTGTAGAAAGAGAACACAGATGACATTTAACTGGCAATGTTCTTGGGGGGGATAGCAGGGTTTTGTTTGCTTATTGCAACTTTGCGAACTTGGAGTCCTAGCTTGTACTAGAGACATGAGGCTGGGGACAATAGATTGTGCAAATACACTTGCTGAGGAGAGAGAGGGTTTTGGGAATCAGCAATGGGATGATGCCACTGTCCACTGCTGGCATCTGATCTAAGCTGGTTTAGTCCTGAAATAGGGCTTGTTCCTAATCATTTCCACTCTGCATCTTTCTTACTGAGTTTTGGGAGAAAAGCAGTTACAGGATTCTGAAAACTCAGCCATTTCCACTCTCTACCTGCTCTTTGTGCCAGACAAGGGACTTCATACTCCAGCCCACCAAATGACCATAGCCTACAGCAAGGTGCAGGAAGGGGAAGAGGTTTTTTAACTCTGTTATATTTCAGGATGAAAATATCCAGAAATGATAACTATTCCCTTTCCTAAGAGCTTCAGAAGCAAATGGTGATCTACCACCCTCTAATATGTTCTGCTTTATATGGCCTTGCTTTGTATCAGTTAAACCATGCAGAGAAGAGCACCTTGTGTCCCTTCCTGCAGAAGATGCAACTAAGGACGCATAGAGTTGTATGGAGCATGATCCCTCTGGAAGACAGTGGTCTTCAAAGACTGGGCACAGTGAAGGTTGCAGTGAAAGTGCTGTGGAAGCCCTTAAGTCTGTAGTAGCTTCCATCTGCAGGCACATGTTACTAAGGTGCAAAAGGCCACTCCTTTTCCAAAGGAGCCAGTGACTTTCAGATAAATCACTGAATTACTGGCCACTTGGGCAATCACTGATGATTGATAATCTCCCTTACAATGTTAACAAAAGCCATGAAAATAATAAATTCACAAGTGCAAAACTTTAACCCTTGGGTCATTCTACCATTCATGGACTAATTATGACATATGACATAACATCTTACCTGATGGAGGTTTTCACATGCCAGCCACACACACACTGCCTTGAATCCAAATACCCCTTTATTTTCCTGCTAGCATCCTCTTCCTTTTTCTTAAGTTCTGATTGTTCAGGAGAGTAAAGTGATTTTCTGAGACCAGGGAAACTCCTGTTTGTCAGAGAACAGATGCATCTAATGCACATCTTTTCATTTACTAATTTGTGTCTGTACAGTGCTATGAAAATGTGAATTACTATAGGCCTGACCTAATAATAATGAAGTCATGGAAAGTTTTGCCTTGACTTAGAGGAAGCAGGATCAGGGCTCATCAGAGTGATAAGTATTGCTATTTTTATATTAGTAATGTGCTTTATGCGTTTTCTGCTGGTAGACTCCGAAGCATAAAAGTAGAACATCCATCCTTCTCACTCATCCCCAATCTCTGTCTCCCTCTGCCATCTTCATGCATGCACACATTCAGTCCAGGCCCTTCTGGGCTCACCAAGGTTTTAGCACAATTGTTAAATCAGGCTTAACTTCCCTACAGAACAGTCTCTTGCTGGTTTCCACATTCAGGAGTGATGCTGTTGAAAACAGGTTTTCTTGATGCTGCAGTTTATTGCTGACATGGATCTGTACAGCAGTTAAATTTGAAGAGTGAACAGAACTGGACAGTAGGACTAGTAGCTGAATCAGGCAGTTTCTTCTGTCTGATGTGCAGGAAAGTTAAAGGTTGTCCAGAGGAGACTGTTACACTTTCTAGTGGGATTCAATTTGAAAAAGGCTTTTAAAAGTTGTAATGGAAATCATAAAGTTGTATTTTATGACATCAGCAGTATAATGTGGTAATACATGTGCCAGAGGGAGGCTGCCTATCAGCAGGTTTGGCCTTTCAGGGAAGTCTAACTGGCTGATTGGTCAGTAAATACAATATCAAAACACTTACCTTTTATATATGGGGTTGCAATGTAAAGGGTGGTCAGAATGACAGAAGAGAAGGAAAAAAAAGAGGCAGTTGTATGAAGCCTACTAAAACTGGAAGGGGAACAAATAGCCACATGGTAAGAAATGAAGAAGCCAAGGGAGATGACTCAGGATCTCCAGCAATTTGCTAGCTGTAGTAGAAGCCTGACAAATCTGTGGTAGGAATTAGGCACCCGAGAGTGCCCTCAGCTGCTCCCAAGGGCCAGCAGTGGCAGCAGCACACTGATATGATTAAAAGCCCACCTCTGCTCTTGCTGCTTGGGCAGTAAGTCTTGCATGGAAGGGGTTCCTGCAAGCCACTGACCAACCCCGTCTGGCACAGCAGGCACAGCCCGGGGCCTCCAGCAGCTGGAGATAAGGCATGGGGGAGGGTCTGTTTTTACTTTTCAAGGCTTCAATCAGAGATTGAGCCCAGAATTTCATAGCGACAATCCAAAAGCTTTCCAGGGAAAAAGCACTGCTCAGATGATTTCTTCACCTGCTGGGATTTGGAGCCAGACTCTTTTGCTATTGCCTCGGTTCTCTGTTGGCTGGGTTCTCTTTCTTAGCAGAGTCATTCTAGTTTCTCTCTGAATGTTTCTGACCTGTCCTTGCCAGGCCAGTTTTATTTCATAGAGTCTGTCGTCGTATATCCAGACATCTGGACTTTTCAGTCCTACACAATAATCTTTGCCAAAGAGTGTGCGGTCAGGACTTCTCACAGTTCAGGAACTGCCTTATAATTTCTGGTGACATGGCAGGATGGAGAACAACCGAGTCCTGTAAGTCAGATGAGTAATAGAATATGTGGTCCTGGACAGGGGGGAGGGAAGAATGTTGGAGGCCTTTAGAAATGCCCTCCTCCAGGACCGAGTGGTACCTCCATTTTCCCCCTCCATAGCAATCTGTGTCCACCCTAAGAAAGGCAACAAATCCAAGGGTTGTTTCGGGGTCCGGTGATTCTGAAAGGAGACAGTGGAGAAAAAACGAGTTTTACTTAAACTCCAGCTGAGAGGTTTCAGGCTGTCATAAACATAAGGAAAGACATGAGCCTTTAATTGGGTGGGTACAAAGATAATGTTGTTGGAAAGCTGGAGGAGATTTCCACTCTGTAGCTTGTGTGCATGATGCTGACCACCTTCTCTTCATGAAGGGAGAGCAGTGGAGAGGAAAAAGCGTGAGTGCTGTTCCAAATGGAGCTGCATCTGGCTTTTGCTGCAGTGGTGCAGAAGGCAGTTCTGAATGAAGCTCGGTTTGTTTGCTGCTTGAGACAGGGTTGCCGTCTGTTGGGTCTTGTGTTTTTTGTCAGAGGATGTAAGCTGAGCATGAGGGAAACTCCGGGCAGCCTGAGGGGGCTGGGCTGGAGGAGAATGTTTGCACCATTCCCATGCATAACAGCCTAACGCAGGCATGTGGAGGAGGAGGAGGAAAAGGAGAAATAGAAGTGAAATCTCTCTCAGGATATAAATGGCCAACACAACCCTATCGCTTCATATTCTGATACTGTATAGTGCTGTCACTCAGGGACCTTTAGGAACTAGGACCTTGGGACTGTAATCCTACCTGTCCCCCTCCTATCCCCCTTCACCTTCAGTATTGAGAACTGAAGAGAGAAAGAGCAGAAGAGGAAAATAAGAGCCCTGGTAGCAAACCCCTGCTATTCCACGGGTGAAAGTAAAGCTTTGGTTACTAAGATAAAAGGAAAATGTATACCTTTATATTCATGTCTTCAAGCATAAACCAGCCCGTAGTGTATATAGGATAAGTTCACAGTGCATGAAACAAACAGGACTATAGGTCTTAACTGGCATCCAGCTTTCTTGCATGCACATCTGACACCATGCCAGCAGCTTATGTCTTGCAAATAAGTAGGGAACCTGCCAAGGCTTGGCACTTCGTCTGTCCAATGGACAGCACATCCACTTCCCAGAAACAGAGCCGTGTGAGGACCTGATTGGGCTGGTCTGTTTGACCAGATCTGCTCCAGAGACTCTGGCGTGAAGAGATAAGGGGTGGGGGAGGGAGTTGGCTTTGTTTTCCTTTTTATGAGGAAGGTGAAAGGGTTTTAAATCTCTGAACTGTTATCAAGCTGAAGTGAAACCTCTGGAGCTGTGCAGAACAAAGGGCAGTTGTTAGTGAAATCCTGGTGGAGAAGATAGGATGAGGATGAGGTGGTTGGTGAGAATAAGCTAGAACTTCAAAGATGATTAGGAAAGAGGTAGTGGAAATATATGTGCAATATAAATAGGTTTGAAAAGCCTAGAGCACTGGAAACTGGGGACCTGCAGTGAGCCAGACGGGCTGGGTGCAGCTGCAGGCAGCACTCAAGGAAACCCAGCCACGGCAGCAGTCCCTGGTGGACGGAGACCACAGACTCTGGGAGATGGTGAGGTCAGGAACTGGGAAATAGAGGGAGATTCGTGGTGCTCTGCCTTCA